ACCATCACCACCACCATCATCACCACCACCATCATCACCACCACCAACATCACCACCACCAACATCATCACAATCATCATCACCACCACCATCATCACCATTACCACCAACATCATCACCACCACCATCATCATCATCATCACCCTCACTATTATTATTATTATACCACCATCAAGAAGAACAAAAGTTACAAAACAACAACTACAATACCACCACCATCATGACCACCACACCTACCTCTAGAAGCGGGCTGATTTTCATCTTGCTTCAAATACGATGCGATTGCTAGAACAATCTTCAAAAGAAAATTCATCATTCATCATTCAACATTCACGTTCATTGTATGTGGTATTTAAGGCACCGAATTATATATAAGAGCTTCCAGTCTGAATCAAACATTGAATATTTTCTGTAGGTACTCCAGTGACTGCACTTTCCTGCTGTAGTAACACTGGATTCATAACTCATGCTCCTTACATTATCTACACACAGTAAACTCACTTTGTTCGCCTTTGCTTGGACAGTTAGATCTTGACTTTCAGCAAGCAAGTGAATACTTGGGCATTGTTCATTAATTTCACGAGGGATATTTGACAGATTACTTCTCAACATATACTCAACGACACAAAGCGATTTCTATAAAGAAATAAAATCCCACTCATCTATAGTGGAAACATCGCAGGTTTTCCTCGGGTACTCTGGTGTCCTCCTGTAGTAACACTGGATCAATAAGAGATGATCCTGACTGGACCTCTAGGAAGAACAGTTTAGAACTGATAGAGCTATCCAGTAAAAATAAAGTTAGATTAGTTTCCTCCTGTAGTAACACTGGATCAATAAGAGATGATCCTGACTGGACCTCTAGGAAGAACAGTTTAGAACTGATAGAGCTATATCCAGTAAAAATAAAGTTAGTTTAGTTTCCTCCTGTAGTAACACTGGATCAATAAGAGATGATCCTTACTGGACCTCTAGGAAGAACAGTTTAGAACTGATAGAGCTATCCAGTATAAATAAAGTTAGTTTAGTTTAGGTTTCCTCCTGTAGTAACACTGGATCAATAAGACATGATCCTTACTGGACCTCTAGGGAGAACAGTTTAGAACTGATAGAGCTATCCAGTATAAATAAAGTTAGTTTAGTTTTAGGTTTCCTCCTGTAGTAACACTGGATCAATAAGAGATGATCTTTACTGGACCTCTAGGGAGAACAGTTTAGAACTGATAGAGCTATCCAGTATAAATAAAGTTAGTTTAGTTTTAGGTTTCCTCCTGTAGTAACACTGGATCAATAAGAGATGATCCTTACTGGACCTCTAGGGAGAACAGTTTAGAACTGATAGAGCTATCCAGTATAAATAAAGTTAGTTTAGTTTTAGGTTTCCTCCTGTAGTAACACTGGATCAATAAGAGATGATCTTTACTGGACGTCTAGGGAGGACAGTTTAGAACTGATAGAGCTATCCAGTATAAATAAAGTTAGTTTAGTTTAGGTTTCCTCCTGTAGTAACAATGGATCAATAAGAGATTATCCTTACTGGACCTCTAGGGAGAACAGTTTAGAAATGATAGAGCTATCCAGTATAAATAAAGTTAGTATCAAGGAGACAAGGACCGCTATAGGATGGCTCTTACAGGATCTCTAGGGATAACATTTTACAACTGATAAATTTATCTTGTATTGGTGATAGACTTTTCATCTCTTACAAATCAGGCTAATTATACTAAAGTGTAACTTCTATCTGTTGCCATATAGTGGTCAGTGCTAAGACGACAAAACAATACAGGAACGGAAATAAAATTGACGTAAAGCCGTCTCGTATTTTCTACCAAAAACCCTCGGTGAAAAGCTTGCTAAAAGGGAAATCCGTAAGACTGCATTTATCCACAAGCAAGAGACACTGTCGTTGTAACAAACTTCGCGTGAAGAAAAAACTAGCTGGGGGAAAAGTACGATACTTGATCATTGGCAGCAAGGTGGGAGGAAAGCTGCGGGTGTTAGCCATGAAGAAGATCGAAGACCGTGACCGACAGTCCATTGGAAATATGGTAAAGAAATGCATTTGAACATTTATGATCTAGGACGACACCGTGACCGCGACGGCTAGTAATACAATGAAATTAATAAATATTGTTAAGAAAAAAATAATTAAAATCGCACGGAAGATTTAGACGTTGTTCTCGGTCTGTTTACAACCGGTAAACCAAAGCTTTTGCGTATGAAGTGGATACTCAGAATATTGGTTCAGGATAAAACGCCTCGATAAAAGCCTCTGTTTTGACCTTTTCAAGCCGTGCTAAATCCATACGATTGATAAATAGAGCCTAGAGGATATTACACAGCGGCGCGAGGATATGACTTTTATCTTCGAGTGGTGAAAACAATATTTTACGAACGAGTGAGTAAAATATTGTTTTTAACACAATATTTTACGAACGAGTGAGTAAAATATTGTTTTTAACACGAGAAGATAAAAGTGATATCTTCAAGCCACCGTGTAAGGGAAAATTGGAAAAGTGATGGGGGGGGGGGATTTTCTAAGAGGCAATATATATTTTTTTGTACACCTATAGAAGAAAATTTTTTTCTCACTTGATGGCTGGAAATATTTTTTTAAGTGAAATTTATAGGCTTATCTAACAAGCAAGGAATTTTTTTTGCACTATGCCTGGGAAGATTTTTTCTCTAATTTTTTTCTGGGAATAATTTTTTTTTGGTTTTGCCGTCCCCATCACTTTTCTAATGGTCCGTCCCTAATGTTCTGTTTATTATATAGTCCCAAGCAAAAAATTGTGAAATTTCACGCTCAAAAGCAAATTGGAAAAAGTCACGTGATCGATATCTTCACCAGTGAAGATATGGAAAGTATCTCGGTGTGTATTTTTCAGTATCTCACTCTCTGCTATATAATAACACACGATAAGCTTTCTTTGCAATCATTTATTTGAATGAATTTGTTTCGGCCGTCGCCGTCCCTTTGCCGTCCTACATCTTAAGGTGTGTATGGACGACTTGCGCTTTAGACTGAATTTTAATCTAAGTAAGAACAACGAAATCTATCACCACAGCTAGAAAGAGCGTCTTGGAATTAGTAATATTACAAAGTTTGGTCGCGAAATGTTGTAAAATACGGAAAATATAGCCCTTCAAAGTTGGCAAATTTGTATACTTTTGTATTACGTGCGTGAATTGGTAACTAAATTAGTTACTAATTTCCGCAAGTAATAGAAATGTATACAAATTTGCCAACTTCGCAGGGCTATAATTTCCGTATTTTACAACATTTCGCAACCAAACTTTGCAGTTTTTCTAATTTTGATAACTTCTTTCCAAAAATATCCTTTGTTATTCCCAGATTAAAAATTTTGCTAAAACGCAAGTCGTCCATTGAGTGAGGTCAATTGTGTAAAAATGTAGTAAAAATTAGATTGTAGTATATTGTTAGTTCGGATGTTAACCAGTGAAATTTAACTACTCGTTATATATCTGTAGAACGGCACAGACACTTTGTTACCTCTGTGCTTATGTAAACTTAACTAGAACAATAGTAACGAGGCATGTGAGTTTTCTAAGTTTATGACCGCTTGCGTAGCAAGGATATGGACAACAAAGTTAGTAAGTGAACTTTCCTGACGAAGAGTTATCGCTCCAAGGGAAATGTAAAAGTTCGTAAAAATTATTAAAAAGTCAAAAATGTTTTAGCCAATCTCAAGTATCTATTAAAAAATAAATACCCACCCCTGGCCGAAAACGTTACAAAAGGATACCATTCAGTTGTCACACATGTCCTTTACCACTTCTGTGACACGAGTTTGATAACTGTTTCAAGTGCAATTTTTTGCTGTCCAAAGTTTCATGTTGTCTGCACATGTACTTTCTTTGGTGATGCCATTTGTCTCCTGAAAAATCAGAAAATAATCGTATGACTATTGTTGACATTGCTTTTTAGTCTTCAATATTTCATGCTTTGGAAATGACAATACATTTTTATTACCCAATTAACCCTTGAGTTGTTTTGTTTTTCATTTACCCAACCTTTTATGATCACTCAAAATTTTGTTTACTGGACCCTTTTCTCTTTGGTGCCATCCCTTGTCATAAAAAAACGAGCAGTCTCTTACTAAGTCACCTGGTTACATTAAGGGCTAACTATCAATGGACTAATTAAGCTTTTTAAGCCATCGTATTAGACTTGCTGTGTTTGAATAGATTATAAATTCTCTGATGTTTATGTTCCATTATCTCAGCAGTGGCCTCGCCGTCGGACACCGAGAAAACATTTATACAATTACTTGTGAAACAGTATCGCCTCGCAAGTTTTTTTGCATGCTGTGATGAACAAATATTTTATTGCACGTAGCCAAAAGTCTTGTATAAATTTTGAGGGTTATTTGGCAATTTTATAGAGATTAAACACGAGTAATTTGCGCTGTTATTCTGCAGAAAAATATTTCTCACATTTTGCGTAGCATTCTTTCCTGAATTAGGTATACCTTGTATAAATGTTACCTGTTCAGGCTCGCGCGAGAAGCGTTAAGAATTTTGCTTCTAACTATATTGTATTTATTTAATTGGCTGTAAAACAGTTGTGGCGATGAATTTAGGGTAAATACATACTACTATATATCTTTTTAAAGCGCACGATTTTCAGCTCTTGGGAATTTAAAGCCGAGCTTCTTAAACAGTTTCTTTGTGTATAAAATTTACTTATGTTGACTGCTTTTATGCCTTGTGAGGCATCAAATGTACCCCCCTCCATCATTCTCCCCCCTCCAAAAGAAACCCTCTGACACAGGGTACATGAAATGCTGAGGCATTCAAATTCTAACAATACGTTATTTCAATTGTTTTGGGTTTTTTTGGGACACCCTGTAGTACTAATACGTTTTTTTATTGTTTTTCAAAAACAAAGCCAAAGGCTACGTCTATACACTAATCCGTTTTCGTAGGATTTCGTATTGTTCTCCATGGGAATAGAGACAATGGTCTAATTACCTAGAACAATGCGAAAACGGATTAGCCGTATGGACATAGCCGAAGGCAATCCCGAATTTATAGGCATATATGACTCAAAAATGGACGGTGTTATTTTTTAGTCAAATTTGAATGAAACATCATTGAAAACTGTAGAGTAACTTCTTCGATAGATTTTTGTTTTCTTGCTTCGTTTTGGAGATATTTCATTTTGTATGATATGCAAAGGATCAACTGTCTACGTCACATATGCATAATGATTTAGCCCTAAAAGTTCTATATCTTTAATACGACTAAACACAATCAGTAGAAAACCTATATGGGTGTTGTTGTGGACAAATCTCGTGCTCATCATTCATTTTGAGCGAATTTATTTGATAGTGACAAAATTATATAACATTTTAAAGTAAGTCATTATGCATATGTGACGTAGGAAGTTGGCTTTGCATGTCATACAAAATGAAATATCTCCAAAACGAAGCAAGTAAACAAAAATCTATCAAAGAAGTTACTCTACAGTTTTCAATGATCTTTCACATTAGACTAAAAAATAACACTGTCAATTTTCGAGTCATATACCCTTTACGATTTTTATGTTTTACGTATTTTATGTTAATTATGTATTATCACAAGAATATACTAGTGGAAAAACATAACCTTGTAAAAATCGACGTTTAATACTTGAACTTCTCAAAAATATACATTGTTTTTGAAATCGATCGGATAAGTGCTTTTTCGCGCTGCTACGGAATTAGCTATCCGATTTTGTGGAAACGTAGCCTCAGCCTATGGCTCGACTGAACTAGACGTGCTGGAGCGTATACCAGGCCGAAACCCGCAGTGATTAAAAGGGTCAAACGTTGAACAGGCCTTTAGTTTTAGCAACCACACGTCGAAACTTATTTATTGCTTGTTTAGTTTATCTGTTTTCAATTTAAAAGCCAAGGTTAAGATCTCCGTTGCAATCCCTAAATATCCCGCAGCTGGATTCCATTTAAAGTAATAATCGGTGAAAAGTAAATAGATAACCTGATGCTAAAATAAGTCAAAACAACGAATTTGGCTGGACGACAGTGGGATTTCCAAGACAATGGAAAGAACATTCCAATCACTGGGTGGTACTGTTAATTGTTTCGCCATAGTCTGTCGAGATATGATGGCATTGAAGCCGCCAAAACGTCAAAGCTACAAAACAAAAGACCTTTGTTTGACGTTGAACTGTATCTCACCGTGAACAAATCCTTTGTCTTAATTTCAGAATCTTTTGTATGTATACGTTTCTAGAGCGGCAAACGAACGTAAAGACTATATGTTTACTGCTTTATCTGTAAAATTATGCTAAAATGAAGAGATTTTAGTTGGTACCGCCAAAGTCAGAAAAAATGATATGTCTGAAATTCATAAAGTTTTTCTGTATAAATATGGCAGTATAAATATGGCAGCAATTCATTACAGCATCAATAATAATTGTATTTAAGGCCTGTTTTATCATAACGTCGAATTTCGGTCGGCGTCGAATGCAATTCAAACAATACATAATGAAGCTCAATGAGGTTTATCATCTCATTGCATTCGACGCGACCAAAATTCGACGTATATAAAACGGGCCTAAATCGACAATACTTAACTATTATTTTGTGTTTCCCAACCGCCAGATACATTTAAAAAGGTTGCTAACTATATGTAAACTACAAAATAAAGCTAAAAGTAATTTTGAGATGAACGCCAAAACAATTTTAAACTGGTACGAAAATACAATGAGCTCAACTACAGCATGCATGAAGAATTAACTTGTGACATGGAATGTCCAAAGAATTTTAAATGAACAACCATTCCCTATTGTAATAATGTTCCCCAAGGGATTACAACAAATCAATAATTTTGCCTTCAGCCAATCAGCGAGCTCGTTTGCTTAGCTCAGCCAATCACGACGAGGATGTGTTTGTGTAACTGGGCGTTTCTTTCGCGTGCGAGGCAAGTTTAAAATTTCGCTTCGTGGCAGCAAGCTTCACATTTGCACAAGCACTCGAAGAGAGAAGTTTATCTCAAAAGATCGCTGTTTAATCAAGCTAAATTTAAGGTAAGAATCTTTAGTCTTTTACTGTGAATTTGCTTTAGCCTTCGTCAATCGAAGGGCGACTTATATATGTTTTTGAAACGCGACTAAATTCATGAACCGTTCGCTAATAGAATTCGTTCAACTGATATTTTTTTCTGCATGAGTGTCGCCACGTGTATTGTACGGGCTTTCAAACTTTTGGCTATTTCTTAACGTTTTCGATAAAATCTTGTAGCATTTAACTTCAGAATCCTTGTCTTTTGTCTTCCTATAACTTATATTTCTTTTCTTGCAATTTTAGGCCAGAAAGTTCCGCGAGAAATTCGCTCAAGCCATAGACTGGCCACAAAGTCAGCGGGGATATATAACCAGGTAAATATATGTAATATTTCTCTATAAATATTTGTCCTAAAATAGAATGAACGCTTACTTTTAAGAATTGTTAAGCATCCTGGTAGAATTATAGTCTTCTTAGTCTAAATTTTGGTCAACTTTTCTCAAGATAATACCTAAAATGAAAGCTGTATGCTTTACTCAAACGGTTTGGTTGTACTTCATCTGTACTGTACAGTTTGTCCACAATTTTGTACGATATTTTCTAGACTTCCCAGTCGAAAATTCTCAAATTAATTTGCTATTTCTTTGAGCTTATGTTGCAATTAGACTGACAGTTTTGTTCTAAATAGCTCGCCGTTCGCTTATTAACAATTCTGAAGCGAATTCTGTTTAATTCGACTAAATATTAATGCTGAATTTTACTGTAAAATGCTTCCATACGAGTATACGCGTTCAATTATTGATGTATTTTTTATTTTTCTTCCAGGTGCAAAATTTAATGAAGTGTAACGACCCGCAAAAATGATAACCCTTTCAACATGCACGAGTAAGTACAATTTAATGCATTTGCCATGATAGTTTCGTCTAAGTCACATGTGAGAATAATTCTAGCTTCAAATTCGGGTACTCCGAATTCCTGTCGTAACACACAGGCGTTATGGATTTCTGCATGCCTTACATAATAATTTTTTGTTCTGTGCGTATAACACGCGTTCAAAACCAATTCCGATTACATTCAAATTTGTATTTTTCGACACATTTCTCAATCGGCAAGCAAACTTAGAGCTTTATGTGTAAAATAACGCTAAAATGAATTGATTTTAAATGGTGAAAAAAAGAGAAAATTATGTTTGAAGTTCAGTATATGTTTTGCTGAGGTATTGCTGTAAATATTGGCGTCACTTTTAAAGCATCGTTGCTAATTGTAGTTCATTTTACTTTTCAGGTTGGAAGGAGGAAACCCGCGCTTGGGCGGACAAGGATTTTTTTACCTGCACATTTTTATTTTTGAGCCCGATTTTTTTCATACTCAGTCGTCGTCAGGACGCAAGATTTCAGAGACAAGGAGACGAGAAGAGCCCAGCTCGTCTGCCTTCATTTCAAAACTCGCACATCATCCAAAACTTAAGTGTGTGCATGAAAACATGCTTAGGACTCTCCTAGGGGCTAGTTTAGGATGATATGACAAACGAGCGTGATGAACTCGTCAGATTGAGTTAGTTAGGACTCAATGCGTGAGATAAACGCTTAGCCAGTCCCCTCGGTATCTACCCCAAAACATGTTCGCACATTTTATTTTTGTTCAATGCTCAATGTGGAGCACTCGTGGAAAAGAAGAAGATTAATGGTGGATGAAGATTCAGAAGGTATTGTATTGTATTGTGTTCTATATATTATTTATATTATCATTCAGGGTTTCTAAAAAAAGTTAGTGACCCTCTAGAAAGTTAGTAGTTTAGTCTAGTCTTAACCACACAATTACACTATACTTATTCATGTTTTATTTTGTTGTTTTAGAAAACGGAAGCCTTTATGATGGGATGTCTCTTACGAATGCGAATGCAAGTTGGCGTAAGCTGATGAGACTGATGGCTCGAGCATTTCCCCAGAGGTTTGCACCGGGTGCTCCAGTTTTTAGCCAACATCACAGAGTGTCTCTGGGTACTCCAGATTTAAATAAACACCACAGATTGTCTCTGGGTAATCCAGATTTAAATGAACACTACAAATTTACACAGAGTAGCCCGGATTTAGTCGAGCATCGCAGATTGTTTCTGGGTACTCCAGATTGAAGCAAACATCACAGATTTTCGCCGGGTACTCCGGATTAATTAAACACAACAGGGTTTCTCGAATATAGTCGCCTAAGTGGTGACGTCAGCAGTGATTTGAGGTAGTCAGACTTCAATGAGGTATGGATGCTGAAAACATTCTAGCAAAACGCTTAAACGAAGAACGAAATGCCGAATCCCGTGTGCAAATTCTCAGTGATCTGAAGGTTGCGGTAGTGTAGGTCTATGTGAGCAGTCCAGTGATTCTCCAGCTCAGTTTCTACAACTAGAGCATGCGCAGAACGGTTGATAGCGATGTTGATTTCACGTGATTTCCCGCGAGTTGTCCCTGCCCTCAGATTTGATGGAGAAGTACGTTGGAAAGGCGCCTTCCTATATGCGTGCTTTTTGTTTGAGTCTGGTGGAAGGGGCATTTCAACCGGAAGCCTCGGGAAATCGATATCGCTATCCATCGTTCTGCGCATGCTCCAGTTGCAGAAACTGAGCTGGAAAATCACTGGACTGCTCACACAGACCTACAACTACCGTAAACTTTAGATCACTGAGAACTTGTATGCAGGATTCGAACTTCCGTTCTTCGTCCAAGCGTTCTGCTAGAATGTTTTCAGTATCGATTCTTCAACGAGGTCTAACTGCTTTGAAACACTACTGACGTTGTTGCTTAGATGTCTGTATTCGTACCCAGACTCGCTTGCTCACAGCACGCATAAATACTTAGCCGGCTTCTGGTGGAAATCAACTTGAGTTGACAGCCTCGGTTTCTTCGGAAACTTTGCGTTTGCGTAAGAAAGAGTACCCATGGCAATCAACTCCGATGACGACGTCCTACCTCAGACGACGCTGACGCTACGATGACGACGTCCTACCTCAGACGACGCTGACGCTACGATGACGACGTCCTACCTCAGACGACGCTGAAGCTACGATGACGCGACGAGTAAAATTACGGTTTGACGACTAACTCCCGGTAAATCTGTGAAGGTGTATATATGTTGCTATGTTAGAACGTGTGCTCAGAATCCTGTGTAAAGTAGTTCTATTTATTATTTATCGTAGTCTGGATTCTGGGTACTAATTATCCTGGTGCTCTTATTCCGGTATACTTGGGTTGGCTACGTCGCAACGCATGCGCGCTAAAACATGGTCTAAAACTTGCGAGTTATTTCATGAGGTTTATTTGTTTTTTACTTTGCGACTTGTTGCGTTTCCTCGGCGTCTAAACGTAGCTGATCCAATTTTTGCATGGTCTGTGCATGGTCTGTGCATGGTCTGTGCATGGTCTGTACATGATGTTTGCATGATACTTGAATGGTCTGTGCATGATTTTTGCATGGTCTGTGCATGATTTTTGCATGGTCTGTGCATGGTTTTTGCGTGGTCTGTGCATGGTTTTTGGCATGGTCTGTGCATGGTTTTTGGCATGGTCTGTGCATGGTTTTTGCATGGTCTGTGCATGGTTTTTGCATGGTCTGTGCATGATTTTTGCATGGTCTGTGCATGATTTTTGCATGGTCTGTGCATGGTTTTTGCATGGTCTGTGCATGATTTTTGCATGGTCTGTGCATGATTTTTGCATGGTCTGTGCATGGTTTGTGCATGGTATAACTACAAAGCACTAAATACATCACATCGATTTCAAAATGAAATATATGTATGTCTTAGTCTTTGGAGTTTTGGTCCATTGGAAAACTACGCTTAAATTGCTGAGCCTTAGAAAAATGCTTGAAATTTTACCTACTATTTCGTGTGTGGCAAAAACACTTTGCAAAAAAAAATTTTATTTGGAAAAATTTATTTCTTGTTTCGCTCCGACTCGAGAATCCAAGCGTAGTTTTTAATAGGCCTTGCGAAGCGTTTGGTTTTCGTGCGAAAGTCGCCAGGAATGGCTAAGTTCATGAATACTTTGTCCATTGTGAAACACTTCATCAAATTTCTACGCGGGAACATGGTATTCGTGAACTTGGTTGTGCGCTGCATATGCTAATAAGGTCTTCGCGCTTTATTCAATTAATGATAGTTAGTTCTCCACGAATTCGTATGGATTCGTATATCGTCTTAAAGACTGATAAATAAACGAAGTTTTCAGGCAAATATTCGCAATTTGCAAAAATTTGTACTGGAGACCGACGCACAACTAAAAAAAAAATAAAAAAAATTAAAAAAAATAAAAAAGAGGATAATGAAAAAATGAAATACGACGCTGCCTCGCAGATTAGGCGTGCGCATGGAACCTGGTTCACAATTTGTGAAGCTTGTTTTGGCGTACCGCGCTTGGGAAATGCGTGTGGAAGAAAAAAGCTTTGACCGCAATAAATGCAATACAAAGTTTTCATCTTTACGCGCGTCTTTTTCGCGCTAGGGCGTTTTGTCCGTCTTGCCCTGACGGGTATTATATTTCGATAATACCACAAGAACTTTTTTGTCTTGAAAGTGAGTATGCATTATCTTTCCTAATATCTCTGCTAGCGGGATTTTTGCCCTCCCCGTGAATAAAATCGGTGCTAGCAGGGATATATGTATGTGCACTAACTTTTGCACCCCATCTCTAGATGGTCGCTTAATCTCTGGTCGTGAGATAGCAGAAGCTTTTTTCTTCAGGGCATTCGACAAAACTTAAGGTTGACGACGATTTTGACGGTAGCAATATGGCGACGTTTGTGCAAATAATAGTATAGTATATTGTAGTATCCGGCATTAATTCCGGCTGACAATGGGCTGTGTTTCTTGGGCTGACACAGATTCCTTCGGCTGCATTTCTTCCGGTATATCTTCTCCCATATATCTTCTCCGGCATTAAATTCGGCCAAAATATTAGGAGGGTTTTCCTCCGGGCAATGCCCGGTTTCCCTCGAAACAAAAAACAGTGCCCGTGTTCCGGGACCTAAAACCGTACTGCTGAACTCAGTTTAAATATGGCAAAGATTCAAAATATTAGATTTTTGCATGGCCTCCAAGTGTTTACAAATCAACGAACACCTTTCCTTTAGCAAAAAAGTTGGATTTCTACAATTTTTGAGATTGTGCACGGAGTAACGGTTTTTAGGTCTCTGGGTTAGATTCCCAGAGCACTGTCGCTATGTTTCACCCCTATTCTTGGTTTTCATTTCGGAGTCAAGGATCTGTGTCAGCTACTTTGTTTATTTGTTGTTTTCACGCTAGTAACAAATACAAACTTTACCTTGTTCAAAAATAATACTAAGGGGCCACGTCCATATTCATGTTGCCACAAATAACGTTGAATCAACATTATTACTTCACCCACCCACTCCAGATAGCGTTGATCAATATTCAGTCGTATTTTGACTCAATATATTATAATACAAAAGCTGTACTGTGATAGTTACTTTAGACATTAATTGTCAAATTGCCACAAGATAACATCGATAAGTTCACATAAAACCCAACTACTCATAACATCGATTCGACGTTATTTGTGGCAACATTCAATATGGATGTGGCCCTACAAAGCTTAACATTCACTTTTTGGCCATATTAGACCACATTTTATTTTTTAAATGTGGCAAAAATTTGAGAAAGTTGAGGTACACTACATAAGTTTAAACCCTGGCTATGTTGAACCATGGGGGGAGAGGGTTAATTATGATTAACATTTCTATTCAGGCCTTAAAATATCTTTTACAAGGGCCATCTGACAAAATGTCTGGTGACGTTGAGTTTGGGTCGGACATATGTCCGATGACCTTCAGTTCAGTTTTGACTCTGAAATAAGTCTGAATGACACAAATGAATAAACGGTAAATGTTGTAAAGATATTAAATCATTTGTTTCTTTCATACTTATTTCCAAGCCAAAATTAACTTGCTTGCCAGAACAGCAGTGTTAAAAAAAGACTTCGACAACTTAAGCCTGTTTTCCACTTCACCATTTCGCTCGCCCGCCCTGCGCTCGACTACGTTAAAACAACATTTCCAGTTCACCTTTTAAACACTAGTACTCTGATTTTCCATTTAACATACAAGCCTCTAGTCGTGGGCTAGGGTACATTTTGATTTACGTCTGACAAAGCCACAGTTCGGTCGGACAGACAGACGCCAATTCACTTGGGTCGGACAAACAATAAACCTCAGTTTCACTTCGGTCGGACAGAATGTCTGGTGGTTTCCTCTCTACGTCGGACAATTTCACGAATGGGTCGGACAATGTCTGTGACCGACCGTTGTTTTAAGGCCTGCTATATTGTGCAAATTTAAATGTGAATATGATCAAAGATGCTTTACATCGAGTATTACACTTAATTTATAAATACATACTAATGTACTATCAACCAGTGTGGAAAGTTTGTATCATGTGGCAGAGATATCGGCGGCGCAATTTTGATGCTCTCTATTTATTCATTGTTACATTTTCGAAATCTCTGGTGCGCAATTTCCAAACTTTCCAGTCAGGACTATAAACAAAGTGACTATATATGACTGGCAGCCGGTCACAGCTTAGCAAATACTAAATGGCCCGCATTCTAGTGACTATATAGTTAAAGATGTGGTACAGTCCGATCTGCGCATGTGCACAAAGGAGAGCCCTCTTCTTATTTACAAACAGTTTATTTAGGTTTTTATTTCATTTTATGTTGTTGCAAAGCTTGATTGTTGTCCCTTCTTAATTTATTATACTCTAGAATCATGACAATATAAATAGTTGTTGAATAAATTATTTCAATATTTTGGATACCAAAATGTAAACAAAGCCTTTGTTTACATACGGACTGTACCGCATCTTTAAATAGAAAAACTTTTGTTTGCATTTGCTTTTACCAAGCTTGCTGTTGGCGTATTCGATAAAGGCCCTGCAAAAGCAGTCTGGGTTGGGATGTGTTTTGTCTGACTTAGGGGCTGTTTACATGAGCCCGGTTTGCAGGGCTGGCTCGCTTAAACGGGGTGGCCGGCTTCATAGTAATTTCCAACACAAAGCAATTTTACCTTACATGACAAACCGGGCCAGCCCGTTTAGCTGGGATCCCACTCGACTCAAACGGGGCGTCCGGTCAGCCGGGATGAAATTTCTCCATGTAAAGTATCCAGCCCGGGCAACCAGGCTAGAACAAAAACTTCATTTAAAACAAAAATAAAAGACAGAAACTGATATTTTTCTTGACAAAGTTTTATTTCTTCAATTAATCTTGCCGACAAAGTAGTTTTAATCGATTAAATTTGCCAATAAAGCACAAATTCGACTTCCGTGACAAACGTTACACTCTTAACTCGTAAACAAGTTTTTCCCGCCAATGTTCGTCAGCATGCATTTCGCCCGGCAAACGTCTCATCCCGGCTAGCCGGGCTCATGTAAACAGCCCCTTAGCATTGTTTTTCCCTAAAATTTTATTTTCCTTATTTCCCGGCTTTTCTAACTCTCAAAAGGTTAGGGCTAGGGTAGGGTTTGAGGATTGGTTTATCTTATATAAAAAATCAACTTTACAGTGAAAATACAAAAAGTGTCCCACTTCTGCTTCTGTAGTTTGTTGTGATTTACTGTAATTTGTTCTGTTTTTCTGTAGCGATTACAGATTTATCGGCAAATATTGCGATAAAATTTAGATTCCGTTCCTTTTATGCAATGAAACTAACCAAAAATGTATTATTTCCCTTTGCTACAAATTATCATATTTAAAAATAGAAAAAAACTAAGTTTTATCGCGGTATTTGTCGATAAATC